GTTTGAACATATTTTTCTTATACTGTAATTCTAGTCATATTTAGAAATCTAAGAACCATTAGTGGTCAGTTCAATTCATGTTTGATCCATGCCTCAGCTTTTCTCATGTCTTTTTAACTTCCCCCGTATCTCTAAACGCATGATAATTGTTATTTCGGTCTATGTAATTCATACTCAGATCCGAGCTCTAAATATCCTTCTTGCCGTCACATCGATTCATGCATGTATGCTAATACGACACCTTTGCTGCATCTGCAGGTCTTCCAACCATGCAATGGCTGCTTTCACTCCTATTAGTTATTACCATGTTGTATTTATAACAACAAAGTATCAACCTGTTTTCTAGTTACAATCACTTTCAAACTGTATAATTTCGACACTAGAGTTTCGGGAAGAAGAGCAACGCAAAGGGCGTGCCCTTGTGTTCGGTTGGGTATATGTTGTTTTTTTCTGTGCTGGAAATATCCGAGTAACGATCAAGTGGCACCATTTTCGGGTCAAAAGCCACACTGGTGGCAGGGCCTATAGATTATATGTGACCACTGCTTTGTGTATTCTCTTTTGCTGAAAATCAGAGGGAAAAACAGATCTATATGCAAATACTTATCTTCTACTTTCGGTTCAAGTTAATTAGGGATGTTTAAATATGTAATTACGCATAATTTAATAGGACCTATTAATTTAAAAATCAAGGGTAAATACACATTTAGTCCTTGAACCTTTGGGGTGCTTTGCAATTTGGTCATCAAACTTATAAAACTTGCATTGGGGTCATTGAATTTTTACTTTGTTTGTATTTCGGTCACGGTTGTGACTCCAATGCAATTTCTAAAAGTTTGGTGATCAAATTGGTACTGTACTAAAAGTTTAGAGACTACCAGTGCAGTTTAACCAAAAATCAATATAAGAGGTAGGGTGAGCAGAACTCGAATCAACTCCAAAATTTGATTTTGAATTGATTTTGACTTGTATTTTCATAAATTTGACTCAACTCGAAAAAAATTCTAAGTTCAAATTGAGTTATAAAATACAACTCGAATAATTCAAAATTTTTAGCAATTAGTGGACTAGTTTTTAAGTTTTAGTCGAGTCCCTTGAATTTGTATGTATTTCACATATGAAAAAACTGACTAAATATATATGTATTGTATATGATTATAAAAACCATTTAAATTAAAATCAAATAATATTATAATATTATAAATATTTATAATTAAATTTAAACAAAAATTCGAAAATTCGGCTAGATTCGAAAAAAATTGAAGTCAACTTAGAGTTGGAAAAATGACTTATCAACTCGAATAACTTCAATTTTTTTACTCGACTCAATAGAAACATTAACACTTATTAGAGGTTCGAAGGCCATTATAGTTAATTGGCAAACTAATTATATGAATTCTATAAGCGTAAAATACGGATTTAGTCTTATAATTTTATAATAATTCATGTTATATATATATATATAGTCTTATAATTTCTTGCATTTTCAAAAAAAATCCAAAAAAAAATTGAACAAATTATTTTGTAATCTCTATACAATTTCGACTTTAGTTAAAAAAAAATTCCCGCTGATTTTTTTTTTTGTCTATAAATTCCCACCCACAACTTACGGTTCAATTGTTTCACTGAAAACAATTTACGAAAAATATTTTTCATAAAATAAATTACATTTTTTAGAAAACGTTTCTCATAAAATAAATTATATTTTCCAGAAAATATTTTATGGTGTTTGGGAGAGGTTGTGTAAACTATTTCCAACTAGATGATGATTTTATTAGAAATTATTTATTACAAATATTAAATATAATAAATAATATTATTTATCATAAAAAATAATAATATTTTAAAATTTTAGAATAATTTTATTCATTATTATTAAAATATTATTTCTATACATTTTATAAATAAAATATTAAGATTAATACATTCTATTGAAAGTAAAATATTATAAATTATATTAATTAATTATTAAAGTAAGAGTATTATATTGTATTTTAAAAATTATTAGTTAATATATTTTAAATATCTTTATTAAAATATTATTATATTAATAATAAATACATAAATAATATTATTCATTATTAATAATTTAATAATATTAGTTCTATGAAATTAATAAATAATATAAAATTTATTAATAATTTATTATATATTATTAAAATAAAAATAAAATATCTTATCTTATTATAATATAATTGATATATTATTATAATATTAAAAATATAATATTACATTATTAGAAATATTAATAAAAATATTTTAAATATTTTAATAATTAATAATTTTATTAAAATGACATTAAAATACCGTGTTAATATTAAATACATAAACTAAAATTATTCTGAGTATTTATTCTTTGAAGTGGAAAGTTAGGAAAATGATTTACAAAAAATCAAACCGTAAAATGCAAAGGAAATTCTGTTGACCAGTAAAATATTTTACGATGATCAATTAGTTTTCCTCCAACCAAACATTGAAAAATGAGGAAAATGTTTTACGTGAAACAAGCAAAAATTATGTTCATTTTATTTTATTTTTCTTTTGATTTGTTATTCTTTATCATTATCTTATTGAATTACATAACATAAATAAATGTTATCTCTTTATAATAAAATAACTTTTTTTTTATTAAGCTAAGGTGATTATAAAGTAGTATATGTTTTAAATATTCTGAACCATTTAATAATGAATGCTCAATCACCTTTCTACAGCCGCTGGTGCTCGAACCCGTGACCTCTAGAAACATCAATAATTTCTTTAATTACTGATATAAGTTGATTCGTGTCATTTTCTTTAAAATGTCATAAATGTGTCTTAAAAAATACTATTACAACATATATATTGTAAAACAAACCAATACAAGTTGCAAAATCACTACTAATACCATAACATGTACTACAAAGACGAAAAACAAAACATCAAACGATTTCACTACCACTAGCTGCGTCTAAGATAACTAGGTTGTATGCAGCTCCAATGAACAATATACTTGCATCGTTGTTCTTCACACTCAGGGGCTAGATCCTGGCACGGCTCACCACGGTCATTACATACCGGATAATAATAAATCTTCCAGACAAAGGTGAGAGGATGTGGATGATTTCGGTACATGTATTTGGTTCCGACCTTAATAAATGAATACTCTCCCTGAACACATTCGATATGCATAGTATTGTCGCAAATTTCACAACGATAAAACCATTTTTGTGGATCTCTTTCTTCTTCACATATATCACAATATTATCGTAAAGAATAGTCGTCACGATCTCCATAAGCGTCAGAGAATGCTTATCAAACTTATGCCATGCAGTGCTTGGTAACGTAGCACATCCAGTCCAAAACAATAGTAACTTCCATGCTTGATGTTTACTTTTTCGTAACAGATTCTGCAAGCCCAAGTTCTGGAATCATCGTGGTCGATGCAGGGGGAAAAGCAATGGGAAATGGGGTGGGGATGGAGACGGAGTTTAACGTGACGCGGCAATGAAATGCAATCTTGATGAACTTGAATGTTACATGTATAACAGATATAGGAAACATTGTCTCCCTGGTTGCCACATGCATCACAAAAGAAGGGGTTATTTGGTCTCAACAACAAAGTGAAAGGGTGATCATGGTGAGATTTGTCTTCAATAATGGGTGGTGGTGGCTTGGATGTTAACCTCACGAGGGACACAACGGTAATAAAATCCAAATCGGGTCATCGGGTCGGCACAGGTTGCATCTGGGAAACCTTTTTCCGGAATCATGGAAAACAAGCGAAAGCTGGTGTGTACGGTGGCAAGGGTGATTGGTTGTCGAGGGTAGTTCAACTGTTCAAGACATTTTTTATGGAAGAACAGGAACTGTCTGCAATCAAAACAAGCGTATGGAGCATCACGTATTTTAATTCCATCTCCACAACCCGTGCAGTATAAAGATCCAAATGAATTAGTGGAGATCAAAGGATGAGGGTGGGCAACATGGATGGTCTCGATCAAGTTCAAAACAGGAAACAGAGAGAGAATGTAAACGGTAATGTTGGAGATCGGGCAAACTTGAATGGACGAATCTATAAGGACAAAGACCATGGTCGATTTGCATCTCTTCAATCGATAAGTGAGGAGGAAATTCAAGCTTTGTCGAATGAGGTCGAGCAGGTTGGGAATATTGCGGGAAATGGTCATGATGGGAAGGTTGTGAGCACCAACAGTCCGATTGAGACGGCTTTGAAGAGTAGTGGGGAAAGAGCTCTTCGAATAGAGGATGTAGAGCCGGGAAGGAAAAGGTAACAGAACCAATAAGTGGTGCCGATAGGCTTGGAGGGAAAGCGAATTTGAATGGGGCCTCAAGCTCGAATCTTAAGAGTGGCCCTTCACTAGTTATTTCTAAGGATCACTTTGAGAAACATGGTTTGACGACAGCTCCTAGTGCTACGCATGCAGATAAGATTGATTTGAGAATCATATTTTGGAATGTTCAGGGTGCTAGAAAAAGGAACGAGATGCCGGATCATCGAACCAAACTCTTGTAAAAGATTATATTCCTCTCCAATGCAACCAAATAGATTTGCAATGCTACTAAAGTTTATGGTTTTCTTTGGCAAATAAATATGGTTCAACCTACAACATGCAATTTCAGTTTGTAGGGTTTCTTAATGCAACTAAGATTGACAGTGAGTTGGACATAACTACTAGCTGTATTGTAAGTTGTGATTGGAGTTGTAACACCGGGGATTGTTTACGCAGTTCAGTTTGCAGGGATTGTTAATGATGTTGTTGTTGATTTGCATGCGCTTCTAATATTGAAATAAGGAAGGCGGTGTAATAAAGAACTTGTGTTCGAGTCTTCCGTCGATGTCATTCTCTTCTCTTTTTCGGTAATTAAAGAGGAGTTCCAATGATTACTTCTCTTATTGATAAAGTGTCTTGCAAAGATGTTCATAGGATTACTTGCTGCATAAAACCAGTTACTTGCTCGGTGCACATTGCAGAGTTGTAGACTTCACTTCAGGCCTTCTGTTAACGTCCATCAGACTCTGCAAGTCGACTTGAGTCAGATGAATTGCTAAATGGTTGAGAAATGATCTTCCTCAGCACTATGGCATTTGATAGACAGAAGGTTAGCCTTAAAAATACACCAGCAGAGGCAAATGGAAACATCATCTGCTTATAGTTTACATGCCTGGAAACATCGATACCACAAGATTTCACTATCAAAATGAGTCCGGAGAAAGTGTTTTCAGCAATTGTGGCTCGGTGTTTTTACTGGTGCTGAGTTGGGATACCTACTTGTACTGTAAGTTGAGCTGTAACAAGTAATGCACAAAAATAAAAGGAAGAACATAGCAATGAACACCGGGGATTGTTTACGCAGTTCGGTGTCACACCTACATCTGCGGGGTCTTGCCCAGAAAATAAAAACCACTATTGAACTCATAGTACAAGATACATTTAGTATGAATTCTCCCCAAACAATCTTTCCTACCAGACATTGTATAAACACATTTTAGAAAGACAACGACAATCCCAAAAATGCATCATAAAAGAAAACCTCTTGGTGAGTAGATTTGATGCTTTTCAAGATCATGAAGAAGTTGTTTTCGAGTATATTTGATGTTCCAAATGCATGGAGGATAGCAGCCCTTTATGAAGGCTCTAATCAATTTCGTATGTGCCACAACAATGAACCTGCAAGTTATAAGTAATGAAACTGCTATCAATCTCTCACCAGCTAAGAGGGTGCCTGCCTGCGTCAAAGAATGCTGGAAACTTTATTTTTCTTTTGGGATTCCTGATCTTACCTTAACAGCCCAACTCTGATCAAATCTACTCACCTGAACAGGGTATTACTCGAACTCACATCTTCCAAGTGTATGTCAACTGCATTGGTGCCATCTGTGACATGTTCAATTTGGTCACCATTTATGTCAATTTTATCGGATCAATTGAAAATTACAAGGAAAATTTGTCATTTTTGATATGATCAATTGAAAAGGAGAGGATGGATTACAACCATGTTGAAAATAAGCAATCCAGAAGATTAGCGTCGCAAGCTTCTTAGGTATGTCCACATCACTGTAGTTACATTGTAAGAAAGGCTTGTCAGTTTTCCTGCAAAGAGAATGCAATAATAATGGCGAAATGATAAGCGATACTTGCTTTTGGTTTATTTTGAACTCGGGTATTAAAGAATTGGGTGAGATATTGATTACCTTTCGGAATAAATTCAATTGAAAAGCAGAGCATGTAGTACAACCATGTTGAAAATGAGCAATCCAGAAGGCTAGCATTGCAAGCTTCTTAGGTATGTCCAAGTGGCATATGAGTTAACCCCTCACAACCACGACATGGGAGACGATCACAATCCCAAAATCGCATAATATAAGAAAACTTGTTGGCGAGAGATTTGATGCTTCATGAAGAAGTTGTTTTCGAGTAGATTTGATGTTCCAAATGCATGAAGAATTTGGTATGTGCAAAAACAATGAAGCCTGCAAGTTCAGTACTCAATATGTTACAACTTATATCGTTTAAATCGAGCATCGTCAGAATGTCGAAGCACTTACTCTATTACTAAACACGACTTCATATAAATTTTTGAAGTACTCAAATGCCCTACAGTAGGTCTTGCACACAATCCTGAATATAGAAAACAAGTAAGCGACATTCACATATTGAGAATAGAAAACACAATATATTGTTATGAAAGTGGAGAAATGAAAAGGGTAGGAAGCACCAACCCCATTCACCCAAATATATGGGATGTGAGCAATCTTATGCCAATCGGCACCGATGCCCTTCCGACACCTCTCCTCCAACTGGTGACTTTGTTGTATAGATAAGGATTTCAAATTGGTTAGACGGCGCATCTCATCCGGAAGCATAGTTAAATTGGGCAAATCAAAGAGAAAAAGGTTTTGCAGGTTTGTTAAATGTTGAAGCCACTCCGGAAGATGCCGACACTTTGGAATACTTTCCAAATGTAGAGAGCGTAGGCGGCTTGTATGATGTTGGAATGTTTGGATGCTATCTGCACATAAATCCAGCTCCTTGCAGTATGATATTTTAAGCGTTTCAAGAGAAGTGAGATGTGGGAACACAGGAAAGAGGGTCCTCAATCCACTGCAATTCTCAATTTGTAAACTTTTCAGTTGAACAAGACCTTGAAGCCAAAGGGGAAGAGACACCAGCTGTGGAATATTATCAATCTCCAAATCAGAGAGATTCTTAAGTGGTTCCCATTGCGCCCTCTAAATAAAGCTCCTGGCAGCCATGTACCGTTAATCTTTTGAGACCGGTCAACTGTTGCAGACACCTTGATAAAATGGCCATAAAAAATGCGGCATTGTTCAAGGGAAGTCATGTTTTGCAGGCATTCATCTAGCATGTTTGTGTCCATTTCCTCAATATGCTCCACTTCGAAAGATTTCAATTTGGAGAGAGGAAGAGATGAGGTTGAAGGTCCTATACCACAGGTGTTAATCTGAATGGTCTGCTTCAAACGACTTGAACTTGTATTGGCCGAATATAGCTTATCATCGAGTGATGGATACAGAGGCATTGAAGTCAAAGGGCAATCTTCGACACTTAAACTAGAAAGACAAGGAAATGCCAAGGTTGATGTTCCAATAATTGTTTTGTCATCATTTTTATGATCATCAACCGGCCTTTTGCACCACCAACTCTTCAAATTTGGGCATTTAAAGAGTGTGAGAGATTTAAGCGATTGGAAGAATAATTTTGATTCTCCTTGTCTTGCACTGGGGCCACTGTTGTCCATGTACTCCAGTTCAGTTAAAGAAAGAATCTCGAGCTTTTGAAGATAAGGCAATCGAGCAAAGGAAGGTAGATGTTTAAATTTACTAGGACCCTGTATTTAAATATGGACGACATTTGAGAGCAAAGAAAGCCAACTTGGAAACTTGGCATTGCCCCTCCATCCAATCACACGGAGCTCCTTCAGATTAGGATGGGGCTGGAGGTCTTCAAGTGACTTCTCTTCATCATCAGCCTCAGGAATAAGGCTGCTCCATTCTAAAGTCAATGAGTGCAAATGTTGCTTCTCTTTCAAATTAGCAGCCCTGAACTCCACTTCTGCATTTTTCACCAATCCCAAATTTGTTATTGTTAGCTATCCCCTTAAGTTGTTAAGCCCACCCAATTCACTTAGATCTGCACCACCATGGGAACCACGTATATCCACCACAAACATGGATATCGTCTGAAGCGAAATCAGCTTCCCTATTCCACGTGGCATATGAGTTAACCTCCAACACCCATCAAACGAAAGATGGGTGAGATTCACCAATTTTCCAATCTTTTTTGGCAATTTTTCAATCCCCTGGCACCAATCAAGTCTCAGCACTTGCAAATTTTGTAACTTGCAAATACACTTTGGGAGGATCTTAAGATTTATATTGTCAGAGAGATCAAAATACCTCAAATGTTTCAACTTATGAATGGAGCGTGGAACTATTTCAAGATTTAAATCATCTAATTCTAACACACGCAAACATCTACAGTTTGAAATTATTAAATCCCAAGTCGCCTTGCTCATGTTTTGATCATCTTGACCAGGGAAGTGTAACAAAGTTTGTAACTTTCTTCCCTTGAACGAAGGAGTTATTGAAAAATCAATGGATACACGACGACATATTTCATCAACCTCGCTTGCACCAGAATTTGATTCTAAAATTCTACTCCCTCTCCCCGCTACTAATTCAGCAAGATCATGCATTAAATCATGCATTTTACATGCCATTCCCCCCCCATAATTATCTTCTTCTATCTCTTGAAAGAAACCTCTTTCTGCTAAGCCATTAAAATAATCCAATCCAATCTCGTCGAGAGATTGGTTCGACTCTGATTGCTTTACAAAACCTTGTGCAATCCAGAGTTGAACAAGTGTCTTTACATTAATTTCATGATCTTTTGGGTACAGTCTGCAATAAGCAAAACAATGCTTCAAACAGTGTGGGAGATGGTCGTAACTCAGCTTAAGTGCAGGTAAAATTTCACCATCTTTTTGGGATATTATAGTAGCAAGCACATTATCTTTGAAAGAACGCCACTCATTTTCACTTTCTTTAACAGATAGGGTACTAGCTATAGTCCTAATGACCAAGGGAACTCCACCACACTTTTTCACAATCTGCTTTCCTACTTCCACAAAGGCTGGATTTGTTGAGTCTGCAGATCTTTGCTCAAATGCTACTTTTTTGAACAAAAACCAAGCGTCATCATCAAACAAGCCTTTTAAAACATGGGGTTCACATTTACTAGTAATCTTTGCTACTCTATGAGAGCGAGTAGTTACGATTATCCTACTTCCTATAGCCCCACCCATCAGTAACTTCTTTAAGCTAAACCATTTTTCTCCATTCTCCTCCCAAACATCATCCAAAACAAGTAAGTATTTTTTCCCATCAATTTTATTTCGAAGTTGCTTTTGCAATTGATCCATCTCGAGATTTTGATCGGGTGCTTGGTTAGTCACAGATTTGATAATGTTTGCTACTATTGTTTTCACGTCAAAAACATCAGACACACATACCCACATCATCAACTCAAAATGATCTTTAACCTCGTCATGACTATAGACAAACTGAGCCAACGCAGTCTTCCCCAAGCCTCCCATCCCCACAATTGTGACCATAATAACATTCTCTTCACTTTGAAACTCTCTGTCTAGCAAGAGTTTTAGAAGAGCTGCTTTATCATGGTCCCTCCCTATTATCTCATCTTTACGCACAAAAGAGTGTGTCTGCTGCCTCCTTTTGGCCATGAAAGGAGTTTCCACAGGAAGGTCACGCTCTACCAGCTTTAACTCACTGGTCTGACTTTGAATGGAAGCAAATCTGGCCTTAATGGCCTTGATTTTACTAGCCATTTTGCGACCATAAGCAAACTGGTTTGATCTTGAGAAGAAAAGACGTACCTCTTTGGTCAGCTTGTTCCCACTCATCAGATCCCTCCGCAAGACTTCAGTATGGACATCATCCAGCAAGTCTTCCGCATCATACAGTGCATCTTTCAGCTCATCAAGCCAAACTTTGACAAGATTGCTGGTCACTGAACGCTCTTCCGCGTCAAGAAGCACAGCCTGGATTCTGATGACGGTGCGTTTGAGGTCATCGAGGTCGTCTTTGAAATTCCACCACAGTCCTATTTGAGAGAGAGCGCGGGAGCCCAACTTAGTAATGAGCCCTGTGATGATGTCGAAAGCAATAGCTTCGGCCATTGGTGATCGAAACAGAAACGAAGGCAGAAGTGTTTGATTGTTTGCAAGAGGAAACGCAGGTGTTAATACACGCGGACTGTGTGGTATTTTATAGATATAGATGACACCACCCCACTAGTAGTTGTAAAAAGAGTTAATATTTCACCAACCAAACCAAAACCTCTGTGTGGTTCAGTACAATAATAAATAAGAGCAAAGGTTAAGAGACGACAAAAGAAGCTTTAAAAGCAAGATGCCCTTTGTCTCTCTGTCTGAGTCTCAGTAGTTTGACAATGAAATCTCATTCACACGGTAAAACTATAAACGCGTCAAGTTTCCAACCATAAGTGAAACTCTAAAATTTTATTCGTACCAATCTCATTTAAAATTTTTATATTGTTAACGTTACGTATATACCTTCAAAAATATTTTTGGATCCGTCACGGTAACTATTATGTTTCATCCACTTTTATCTATTCTTAATCATCTTTCCTTATCATTTATAAAGACAATTAACAAGGACAGAGTCAAAATTAAATATTGATAGGGACCAAAATATTAGACTATTTAGAAAAAATATAAAGACTTGTTAAGTATTTAAACTCGAAATTCAGCATGAACCAAATAATCTTAGTAATTAAGGGATTGTTGTTATCATTGAGATCCTGGGTTCAAGCATTGTGTATGTAGGGGTATAAGCGTTCATTGTCAAATAATTGAAAGTCTTTGTACATATACTACCTTATATTCACCTTAAATTTATATATAAAAAAATTCAAAATTCACAAGACAACTTCTAATTTGTCTAATATTTAAATTTATAATGACCTAAATTATAATTAGACCAAAAATTTGAGAACACAGACTTATTATTCTTTAGTTCAACCCCTACTTGATTAAATATTTAATAATTTTTTATATTTTTTAAATTTAAATATTTATTTTTACATGAACGAAAATACTATTAAACGAAAATTATATTGAATATATAAATTTTAACAGGGTTCGGGGACCCCTTAGCCCCTAAGAGAGCTTCGTCTCTGACAGTGAAATTATTAGGTGAACCGTGTTCGCCACATCAACAATGTCTCTAGTTTCTTGGCATAAATTGATCTGGTACCCTCTCCATGTCCCGAAGTACAGCATAATTTCCTAGATGGTTATTTTGGATCGTCTCCCCACTAGGGACAGACTGCAAAGATTTGGGCTTGTTACCAGCGATCTCTGTATTTTCTACTCGGATGCAAAGGAAACTAGAAATCATCTTTTTGTTGAGTGTGTGAAGACTTCATCCATTTGGAGATCAATCCTACAAATGTCCGGTTTGAACAAGCATTTCTCAACATGGAACAACCTGCTGGAGTGGGCGATCGCATCATGGAAAGATAAATCACTGATTTCTTGTATTTTGAAGCTCTCATGGTGCGCTTTTAATTACACCATTTGGGAGGAAAGGAATCGTAGGATCTTTAGAGGAAGTTGCAGAACAGAACCAGAAATTGTCTATGCTATTAAGGATATTGTTGGATCTCTTCTAAGTAATAGAGATATTAACAAAACAGATAGCACAAATATAGATCTTTGTACTCACGGGGGTATAGTCTAGCTTTGTTGTAAGTAGTACCCCACCATTGTTCCATTGATTGTATTGTACTGTAGCAGTTTACTGTTAATTTGGGTAATAATATCTTAATTATCCAAAAAAAAAAATATTTTTCCAACATGACAACAAGTATTGGTACAAGTGAGTAAAATTTAAGAATTTGTGCTTATAAGGTTAAGTTCGAATCCTACTACATTAACAATTTAGTCTTAGATATGCACTGGCCAAAAGCGAGAATCCAAAACTTTTATGTACCATAAAAACATGATAAGACCATGTAAATTAAGGGTAGTCATAGATCCTCTCGACAAAAGAGAGAGGATGTGGATGATCTTTGTATGTGTATTGGAAAATGGGTACTCTCGGAAAATGTGTATGAACCTGGTATCATCTACTGTGTAGTAGAAACCATTACCCGTATAGCAACACCTATCACATCTGAAAACACCTCCCGTTATAAGATCGAATGGCTTTGCACCACCAAACCATAGCCGGCACATCCTCCGCAATTCAGCACAAGTCTTGTGCAAAAAGGAACTACAATGTGAACAATAGTAAAACGGGGATAGGATAGGTAGCACACAACCATTGCAATATTTATTATCTTTAATCTCATCTGAGAATATCAAATTGTGCTCATGACTAACATGTTCTATCTCTGCAGCTATTACATCATCCCCGATTTTAACTTCGTTGATGATACGAATGATGGAACTTGTAGATTCGTCAGACAACAAATCGGATTCCTCAAATTCGTCTGGATTTTCTACCTCCACCACACCATACAACGTCCAGTACTCAATGCTGCACTTGACATGGATGACAAAAGCGCAACCTGTTCTATAGTAACTCCCATGCTCAATGTTCACTTTTTTAAAACAGATTTGGCAATCCCAATCTCTAGAATCATCGTGGTCAGTGCAGATGAAAAAGCAATGGGAAATGGGATGGGGATGAAGATTGTGTCGAATGTGGCGTGGCAACGATGTGCAGTTTTTGTGAACTTGAATGTTGCAGGTAGAACAAATATAGGAAACATAAGCTCCTTTGTTTCCACATGCATCACGGCTGAAGGACTTTTGGTCTTGATAACAAAGTGAAAGGGTGATCATGGTGAGATTTGTCTTCAATAATGGGTGGTGGCCAAGCACATTTGGCGTGAATGTTAACCTCACAAGAGACGACAATATTGAAAGAAAAAGGTTTTAAATAGGCACTTGACCATTTAATACAGCGTAGACTGTTGTGAAGAATTACTATATTGTTTAACACTGATCCTTGCTCACATTCGGTATGCATAGAATTGTCACAAATTTCACAACGATAAAACCATTTCTGTGGATCTATTCTTTCCTCACGGATGTCACAGTAATGTCGTAGCGGATAATCATCGCGATCTCCATAAGCAAGTGTCAGAGAATGCCGATCACACTTATGCCACAGTGCGTGGTAATGTAGCACATCTCCGATCCAAAGCAAACATGCAATCCTTGCATCTGTATGTTACTTTAGGAGTTATTTTACCACAACCATTGCAATTGACCTCGTTTTTTTCTCATAATGAAGATGAAATGAGGCTCATCCGCATTTTATGTAAAGCTACGAGGCATTGAAGCACATCTGAGGCACAGTTTTAAGTTACAAGGAACACATCTGAAAATATCGTTTGTCTGAGGACCGATGAGCATTCGAGTAAACCATGGTCGAAATTTTCCGGATAATTCAGCACAGGCTTTGTGCAGGAAGAAATCACAATGTGAACAATAGTAAAATGAGGAAAGGATAGGTAGCACACAAGCACTGCAATACTTATTGTCCTTGATCTCATCCGAGAATATCAAGTTGTGCTCGTGACTAACATGTTCTATCTCTGCAGCTATTACATCATCTCCGACATTGATTTCCCTGATCACACGAACGACGCAACTCAAAGGTTTATATAACGGATCAGATTCATCAAATTCATCCATTTTCAACCTCGACCACACCATACAAACGCTTGTTTTCAATGGAACACTTGACACGGATAACAAAATCACAATCTGTCTGAGAACAATAGTAACTTCCATGCTCGATATTTACCTTTTCTGTAACAGATTCTGCAATCCCAAGTTCTGTAATCATTATGCTCGATGCGGAGGAAAAAGGAGTGAGAAACGGAATGAGGATGAAGATTGAGTCTGATGTAGCGTGACAACGAAACGCAGTCTTCGTGAACTTGAATGTTGCTGGTAGAGCAAATGTAGGAAACATTATCTCCCTTGTTACCATATGCATCACATATAAAGGGGTTATTTGGTCTTAATAACAAAGCGAAAGGGTGATCATGATGAGATTTATTTTCAATAATGGGTGGTGGCCTAGTACATGTAAAGTGGATGTAGAACTTGCAAGGGACACAACGATAATAAAATCCAAACCGTTCATCGGATTGGCACAAGTTGCATTCGGGGAAGTCTTTGTCGGAATCATTGAAAACAAGCGAAAGCCGGTGTGTACGGTGGCAAGGGTGATTGTTTGTAGAGGGTAGTTCAAGACATTTTTTATGGAAGAACTTTCTACATTCAAAACAAGCGTATGGAGCATCATCTATTTTTATTTGGAGACAACCATTGCACTTAAAATTTCCAATTGGATTCATGGAAACCAAAGGGTGTTCGTGGGTTTCAATGAATTTTCCAGCAGTGTCACATGGAAGCAAGGCGCAATTGAAGTCTAGGTAAGATTCACAAGAAGAACAATGATAGAAGAATCCGACTTTTAACCGGCAAAAGCTGCAACGAGCTCCCTTTTCCGACGTTCCGAAGTTGGAAGAAGAAGAAGAAGACGTTGTCGCGGTGAGCAGGGTGATGAATCTCCGAGGGCGCCTCCGCACATTTCTTAAACGTATAATAAACGGATCATTTTTTTAAAGTAAGAGAGATGAGAAAGTTTGTAGGAGCAGATAAATGCGATAAGTTTTTTTTTTATAAATGGTACTAAAATAAAATAAAAATTAATTATTATATGTGATTTAAAAAAATTAAAAATTTAATTACCGTTTAGAAATTAAATTCGTAGTTTATCTAATTTTTTATACCCTAAAAATCCCCAAATCACATGTTGGCGGGCGAAAAACCAAACTTGACAGCCTATAGACGCAAGTGGCTGTAGTTATCTATATTATTAATTGTAATTAAAATTATAAATAATTTAGTCATTTTTTTATTAAATTGATTTAGAGTTAATTTGTAATATAAAATTTGATTATGATTCCAATACTAATCAAGTTATTAATTTATTCCATTACTATATATGAATATATATATATATATATAATGCCAACGAATATTAGCACAAGTGGTTGGAATTCAGGAATTTGAGCTTATAAGACCAAATTTGAATCCTACCATCATCACTCTCGGTAGGTAATCTGTAAATTTTTATATAAATCACAATTAAATCGTAGGTATGCCCTAACCTTAGACCGGGGAATCAACTCCCTCACCTAAACCTTTTGTAACCAATATATATTATATATATATATATATATATATATATATATATATATATATATATATATATATATATGATGACGGCTAAACTCACGTAAAAATGCTTTGGAAAAAAATAATTCACGTGATAATGCTCTCCAAGGATTAATTCTTCAAATGGTGCGAATGATACAGGGGTGAGATTGGTCGCCATGCAGTCGGAGCGAAGCTTGAAGGTCGCCATGCACTCAGGGCGAAGATTGTATGTCGCCATGCAGTCGGGGCGAACTTGAAGGTCGCTACTTGAAGGTCGCCATGCAGTCGGGGCGACCTTGTAGGCCGATCGCCAAACTTCTGCAATAATTCAGCACTAATTACAAGAAATATAATGCGTGATACTGGCCCCCTTCTCTCAACGCATTATATCCATATTACAAGAAATTCAGCACTAATTAAAGTAAAATTTGGGCATTATTTGCACCAATAATTAACTAAAATTTTGGCATTATTTGCACCAATAATTAACTAAGTTCCAGACTTGATATGAAGGGTGACAAAGGTGGCCCTGTGTTGGGACATGCATGTTGGCCGCGCGAGCTCGTCCTGCAGCATTAGTTTAACGTAAATTGCAAATTTGCAGCAATAATCAAATGCGTGATACCGGGACAGTAGCATTATTCATGCGTGAAAAATGGATGAATTATTGCAGCAGTTAATTTATGGTTTATGGGGCCGGTTTAACAATTATAGTCGCGTGATATGGAGCATTATTTTGCTCCTCTCATGCATGCATGCCTACATGATTTGCACGTTTTTAATAGTAGCATTAAAAATATATGAATTATTGCAACATTAAATTAAGGGTTTATGGGGCCAGTTTAGGGTTATATATGGGTTGGTCTTTAGGTCTTGGGTACGGTTATGAAGAAAGAAAGGGAGAAGAAGGAAAGGAAGAAGAAAGGAAGAAGAAGAAAGGAAGAAGAAGACCGGGTAAAAGTTTATTATTTTAAATCATTAGTTTGTTAATTTAAGTTATATTATATTAGTTTGTTTGTTAGTTTAAGTTATATATGATATCATATTTAATGGAGCAAATTAGTTAATTAGTTTGTTAGTTTAGAGTTTAGGGTTTATAAAAAATTATTTAATTAGTTTGTTAGTGTGTTTAATCTTATACTAATTTGTTTGTTGAAGTTGAAGTTATTTTTTAAAAAAAATAATAATTATTGCTTATTTAGTTTGTTAGTTTAACTAAGTTATATTATAATAAAAAAATAGTTTATTAGTTTAATTAATAATTTGATATTTTTTGTTGTTGTGTTAGTATTATATTAGAATAAATTAAATTAATTTGTTTAATTTTTATATTATAATAAAAATATATTGTTAACATTATATTATATTAAATGATTTTTTTAAATATGTTTGTTTAATTTTTTTACAGATTCATTGGAATGACTGACCAAATTCCAATGCTGAGACTTGACAATGAACATATTTCTACTCATTTGGGAATAATGGTGTTATTCT